AGTTTTATCTTGTAGAACATCTTTCATTCAAACCTTTCACAGCACTATATGGGGTTAAATAGCATGGTTAGAACTGAATAATTCATAAGAAAGGGAAAAGATGAAATTAAAAACCAACAGCAAGATAAAAGAGAGATGTTTTCTATTGAGATTTGAAATGACACAGTTGGAGAGGCATATGTAGAGGGTGAAGATATTTCTCTTGAATTCATGTTGGAGGGAGGACAAACAAACTCAGGAGACCTAAAATGAATGAGCAGATCAAGAAGAGCCAAAGAAATTCAACTTTGTTACCAACAGCTAAACACAACTACATATCTTTTTCCTAGAATTCTACTCAACCTTCATTAAAAGGGTAATAACATATAAACAATCAGTAAAAGCAAGGTTTTTACCGTAACAGGAAATCATGACAGATTAAAATGTTTTTCACTGGATTGAGATCAGGTAGATAGATACCCTTCTGGACTAAAAGCCATTGATTGCTGCCTCGTCCATGAATTTGTTCACTTCTCTTTTAAAGTTATCCAAGCTAGAGTACATCACTACATCTTGTGGTGGTAAATTCCGCCATTTTTGCAATTTCCTATGAAAATATAGTACTCCCCAAAGTAAAAAAAAACTTAATAAAATACAGCACGATATCACGCAGATCTTTTAAACTGTGATACATTTACTTGAACATAATGACAGCTCCTTGCCAGACTTTCCCCATCAATATTGAAGGGTGAGGGTCCGTTCTATCTGAAGAAAAATGAATGCTTGAGAACTACAGGATTCGGTGCCATCTATATAGTATCCTAACAGTTTGTACTAACAGGTCCAGATCTTGAATCACATGAAAGATCTAGGGGCACAGTAAAGTAGGCCATAAACAACATCATATAAAATCACTTTGCAGGGAAGGAATAAAACTTTTAAAAATAGCTTGCAAATATACCAGGATATGCCATATCACTTTGGGTAGTGGAATAGAATGCACGTAAGAAGTAAAATAAAACAAATGAATGGATCCTGGCCCTCCAGTTGATTTAAACCCTCTATGAACCATGAAGGACCTTAAGATCATCTGGGAAGGCCCTGCTCTCGGTCTCACCACCATCGCAGTCACGTTTGGTGGGACGAGAGACAGGGCCTTCTCCATGGTGGTCCCTTGGCTATGGAACTCCCTCCCTAATGAGGTTAGATCTTCCCCCTCCCTCCTGACCTTCCAGAAGAAACTTAAATCCTGGCTATGGGATCAAGCATTTGCAGAATAGACTGATTTACTGGTGAAGATAAGATTTTATTTGACTGCAATGGACTGATTTGGATGATGATTTCAACCTGGTGAACTGTTAATGTATATTTATAACTGTTTTAATGTATATATGGTTGTATTTTATGATATCTTTTATATTGTGTCAGCACTGAAGGGTTGCCTGTTGGAGGCCGTCTTGAGTCCCTCTTCAGAGGTTGAGGAAGATGGGGTATAAGTGTTTTAAATAATAAATAAAATAAATTTAAATAAAGCTGTTTGACAGGCTGAAATGGGTCGAGAATAATGCATTTGGATTCAAACTACAGGAAAAGAGATTCCAACTAAACATTAGGAAGAACTTTATGATGGTACAAACTGGTCAACAGTGGAATAGGCTGCCTCAGAGAGTGGTGGAGTCTCCTTCTCTGGAACTTTTTAAAGAGAGGCTGGATGGCCATCTGTCAAGAGTGCTTTGATTATGCATTCATGCATTGCAAGGGTTTGGACTGGATTACCCTTGTGGTTTCTTCTAGCTCTGTGAGTCTATGAATTGTATTCACCATTGGACTCATTTCTGTATCTCAGAGTTTAACTAGAGCTTTGACAGGCTTTGACAGGATTGCCATCTGTAGCAAATCCAAGTGGTTTGTGCATTGAGTACATTGTAACCTTCTGAGACTCACTTTGGCTTTTAATAAAGGAAGAAAGCTATTCTGGATTGGTAGGATTGACTTCATACTGCTTTATTTAACTGAATTCTTTTTATGTTGGATACAAGCGGTGTGACTAAGTTGTTAACTCTGTTTTCCCTCTTTGTCCAGATTTTTGGAACAAAGTGAAATATTATAGTAGTGAAAGGGAATGGGTTATTTTTCTGGCAAATAAGCACAGTTCCAGCACTGGGCTTTGTTTTAGGTCAGATCTCATAAAAATCACAAACACCAGCCTCGAACATTTCCTTTGGGATCGTGCCTGTCAAAATAAAGGTTTCACTTTATATTCAAATTAATCTTTTGTTCCAGAACTGGTCAAAGGAAGCCAATTGGGACTATTACCAACTGTAATATTAGTTTCAAAGTCTGTACTTAGGAAACAGACAAGCATCAATTTTTAAAAGTCTGGACGGCTGTCTCCACAGGATGAGAGCCCAGTAGGGTAAATTATGCAAAAGAAGGGAAGGGAAACACAATGCCTGAGCATGTGTGGGGACACCTTCTAACCTGGAGGTCCCTAAAGGTATTGGCTTATTTCTCCAGGGAGCCTTCCCAGTCTTTTCCGACTCATAAGCATTTCCATTCAAATATAATATGGCCTCTTCATAGTGCAGTTGTTTGAGTTTTGCTTTAATACGTCTGCAAATCCAGTGAGGTCTGCAGAAATTCTGATCATTTTCATAATAAAGGTCAAGGGCAAACAATATAAAAGGCAAAATGATACCCCCACTGTGTTTGAAATACACATTAAATTACTAAGAACTTGTTACTTGTCATACATTCTATTTATCAGTTTGGTTACATATAAACAATGGAAATAGCGCATTATATTTCATCAAGTGTGTTGCAGTCTGTTTTGTTGTGTGCCTAGGAAAAGAGGGACATAAGAAATGATTGGTTAGACCACAGCTGGAATACTGTGTCCAGTTCTGGGCACCGCAGTTGAAGGGAGATGTTGACAAGCTAGAATGTATCCAGAGGAAGGCGACTAAAATGACCAAGGGTCTGGAAAATAAGCCCTATGAGGAGCAGTTTAAAGAGCTGGGCATTTTTAGCCTGCAGAAGAGAAGGCTGAGAGGAGACATGATGGCCAAGTATAAATATGTGAGGGGAAGTCATGGGGAGGAGGGACAAGCTTGTTTTCTGCTGTCCTGGAGACAAGGATGTGGAACAATGGCTTCAACCTACAAGAAAGGAACAACCTCCCCAAAGACATTAGACTAGCACCCACGTTGGCAGTCTTTAGGAAGAACTTGAAGACCTGGCTATTCCGACGTGCCTTTCCAGAATAGGACAACCCAGCACTTTGTCCCAGAAGCACTTTACTAGAGTTTAAGACTCTCTGCACATTGCACTTGCCCAGAATTCCAATACACCTCCTGTCACACCCAGCACGTTTTAACCTGTACCCATCATTGGCCCGGCCATGGTTTTTATTGTGTAATAGTGTAATGTTTTGTTATTGCTTATGTTTTTAATTTGCTTTCTTTTGTATTGTTGTTGTTTACTGCTGTTGTGTTGAGGCCTTGGCCTTATAAGCTGCATCAGGTCCTTCGGGAGATGCTAGCGGGTACAAATAAAGTTGAATAATAATAATAATAATAATAATAATAATAATAATAATAATAATAAAGGAGATTCCTCCTGAACATTAGGAAGAACTTCCTGACTGTGAGAGCTGTTCAGCAGTGCAACTCTCTGCCTTGGAGTATGGTGGAGGCTCTTTCTTTGGAGGCTTTTAAAAAGAGGCTGGAGGGCCATCTGTGAGGGGTGCTTTGAATGTGATTTTCCTGCTTCTTGGCAGGGGGTTGGACTGGATGGTCCATGAGGTCACTTCCAGCTCTTATGATTCTTTTTTTTATAATTAATTTTTTATTGTGAAATTTTTTCATATACAGACTGAAAGAAAGAGTGAGGTATGGGGAAGGTGAGGGGGGATTGAGAGGTGAGTGAAGGGAAAGAGAGAACTTCCAGCTCTTATGATTCTATGATTGTTCTGTCAGTGGCCACAGAATTATCTGAACTAGTGGGTAAACTCTCCTATTTCAGTTTAACTTCTACTCAGTTCATTCTGTTTTCATTTTTAAGTGCTGTTTTGAAATTGGGTCTCAGGCATCAACATCCTATAAGTTCACCAGATTTAATGTCCATAGATGTTCATGAATTTCAAATATATATCTCAAATATTTGTTCTATAACTCATTTTTTCAATGAAGAAAAATATGGATGAGATATAAATTGCTATGTAACTAGTTTTAAATCTATGATAAATTAAAGTTCCATTTTGATAAGTAATTGTTAGGAAAAGGAGAGATGGTGGTAGATCCAACAACCAGAGTAAATCAAAAGTGGCAAAGCAAAAGCTGAACAATAGGCAGACCTATCCTCAACCTCCATAACCTCCACCAACACAAAGAAACAATGAAAAGAAGAAGAAATTGTTTTAGTTGTAAAATCAAATACATGGTAAAATGGGGGGAATAAGAATACCTGTAGTGATACAGGGAGAGAGTGGGTAAAGCAGACAAGCACAGTAGCAATTACTGGGTATAGGCATCCAAAAGTTGTTTACCATATTTAAAGTTAGCACTGCATAATCTTAAATCTAGATGCAGTGAAGTTATAGGACTGGCTGTAATAAATAATCTATTCCCTAACCAAAAGGGTAGTTTGTTCTTGTGATTTAGGATGCAGAGAGTGAAAGTCTCCTGAGAGTCATTGAAGGATATAGGAAATCTTCTTCCAATAAGTCAGATCATTGGTCCATCTATTTCAGGAGACTCTCCAGGGCTTTAGTCAGGAGTCTGTCTGATGTGAGATGGCTTTATAAGGTGGAAAAGGGTGTATACAAATGTCAGCATTCTTCACCACTGACTCTGCTAGTTAGGGTTGCTGGGAGTTGCAGTCCACAGAGTCATATTCCCATTCCTATTATAAGATGAAGCTGTCATGGACTAAGAGTGTTGTCTGCTCACCACTCAGCTTCTGCACTTCGTGGAACAGGCAGAAGTCAGTTCTTTGTTTAATTCTCTGTATTTCATTCTCAGTTGACCAGAGAGTTTTTTACAAAGGAACTTAAGAAACACTATCAGGGGAACAATGAGTCTGATGTCTTCTCTTCGACTTGGAACTCGGTCATGATCACAGTGAGTAACAACATGCATAATTGTGTGGGATAGTCACTTGAATTCTACTTATGCAATTATTTTTTTATAATCCAATCCCTCTGAACAAACAAACCCCTAATGGTGATTTACAATGGTAAATAAAAGAATCATAACACTCCAGCCTGTAACAGACTAATGAAAATCCTGTTTGGCAGACTGGGGGAAAAAAGGCGTTAGTTGCAATGACAGGCATAATGAAAACGAGTTTCACTGTGCTTACTGGGCCTTCCTCTCTGGAGAGTATGTTTATGAAATCAGCCTGTCATAAAAAGTCTTATGGGAATTTCTAGTCAAAAGCAACTTCGGTTAAGTCCAGTGGGTCTTTATAAATAAAAGTGTAATGTCAGTTTGTCGGACTGACATAACTCGAAAACCACTGGACGAATTGACACCAAATTTGGACACTACACACCTATCAGGCCAACGAGTGACCATCACTCATAAAAACACTGAAAACACAACAAAATGGACTTAAAAAGCCAAAAAACAAAAATTACATTGCAATGCATGCGCAAACCCACACACACACACATATATGCAACCACACATATACACACACAAAATACATATACACAGACTGGGCCAAAGCAACGCGTGGCAGGGGACAGCTAATCTAATATAAAAACAGAGTCGTTGCTTGACACTTTTGACACAATCTGGGTGTTTCCATTATGTTGTTGCTTGGTAATTTTATTGTGTTTTATGACTGATTTTATTTGTTCTTAACCACTATTGAGTTCTTATGTAAATGTTTAGACCTTAATCCAATTGTGCCTCATAAGTTCAGAAATGTTTGGTTTACAAAATGTGAATTCTACATATAACCATCTTGTGTGGTCTAGTTGGTATCTGCCCATGTACTTTTGAAAAGGTGGGCATTTTTGTTGTTTTGCCATGATAAATGATCCTGCCTATCATGAATAAATGGTGGTATAGAAATATGCTAAATAGAAAATAATTGCCCCTGCATGGTTTTATAGTACAGAAGCATGCAAATAATCAGTCAAAACATAGCAAAAGTTCTACTTGGTCAAAAACTTCTGGAGTATCTCTTTGGTAGCTACCAGTTTTTAGAGCATGCTTTTTATTGGAAGCAATAATCATAATGGGTTGTTTTGTGTTTTCCAAGCGGTATAGCCATGTTCCAGAAGCATTCATTCCTGATGTTTCACCTACATCTATGGCAGGCATCCTGTTGTCAGGAGAGAATGCTTCTGGAACAGGGCCATACAGCCCGGAAAACACACAACAACCCAGTGATTCTGGCCATGGAAGCCTTCGACAATCATCATAATGTTTATTGCTGTTATATCTTATATTTCAAAAAATACATGGTATAATCTATAATAGACTTAAAATGCCTCAAATAGTTTTTTTAACTGCCAGCTTTTCAATAGCCAATTTGAATTGCATTTCTGGATAGCCAAGTACCATGAATCAATACCAATAATTTGGCAGTGTTCTCATGGATCCAGCTGAAATCCAGAGGATGAATTACTTTCATATTTTTTCAACTCTTCAGTAGTTTTCTTCTCTTTGCTAGGTTATCAGAGAATGAAAATTGAATGTGGAGGAGCATTTAGGGGGCAGTGCGGCACAGGATCAGCACTATTGTACAAATTCTTTATAGAAGGGGTGTTACAATCTGTATATTGAATGTTTACTAGTGTAGTAACCTTTAAACCAGGGCAGACCATCACTTAAGTCCCTTCTACCACCATCCAGCAACCCTTTAGAGAAACAGGGTGCAGGGAATATCAATACTGCTACTACTAATACTAATACTGCAGTATCACAGGAAACTTCTAAGATTGCATTTCTCTGGGGGGGGGGGGATGATTCATCCTTCCCGTGTGCCTGATCTCCCGCCACAGTAATTCAGATTCCAATGATGGAGACAGATCCCCTGGATGAAAACATTCTCCTTCATGCTTGCCCACTGTTTATGAGTTATTGGTCCCTTGACATTTGTGTCAAGGCAGCACACATTGCACACCAATCTCATCAGCTTTTCAGACAAAATTATGCAAATTCAATATAGTTTTTAATTCTACATAATTATTTTGTGTTTCGAAAATCTTGGAAAGCGCAATAAACTATGCAGTACTATGTAGATAATGGCTGTGCTTTAGATACTTATGGGGGAGAATTCAAAGACATGGTGGTGTTAGTTTGGAATATCTGTATGCAAAGGGATTGGGGTCTTTTAGTTCCATTGAGACTGAGAGAAATAAATTGTACCATAAGCTTTCATACAAATGACTTCTTTCCCTCAGTCACAAAGGTGCTACAAGATCCCTTTGCATTAGCACAGATAGTACAATTGCATGCATTCCTACTCAAAACTAAGGGTGCATCTACATCGTAGAGTTAATGCCACCACTTTTAACAGTCATGACTCATTGCCGTGGAAGCTTTGGAGTTGTAATTTGCTGAGGTAACAGCACTCCATTGACAGAGAAGGCTAAAGACCTTATAACACTACAACTCTTATGATTCCATAGCATTGGGACATTGCCATTAAGGTGGTGTCAAACTGCATTAATTCTACAGTGTAGGTGCATCCTGCATTTTCATCAAGACCATTGGGGCCTGCTCTCAGGAATGTGTATATAAGATTTCAGTTAGTTATCCTAACAGCATCTTGGTATTGAATACCAACTTACATCCTTTTGGAAATTTATAGTAATCAAACTGCCTGCCACATTCAATCAATTCATCTACCTCATCCTTACAAATAGTCAGATTATATATTCTTTTCAAGGGATCTGTTGCATCTTGTCCCAGAAGACAATGATAGTAACCAAATGTTTGTCTTTCATGTGCACTAGTTTGGCTGTTGTGGTGTCAATGGTGCAGAGGATTTTGAAACTGCCCCCCGTTTCCTTCTCCTGCATTCGCACAGTGAAGTTCCTGAAGCTTGTTGCCGGCGGGAGCTCCAATCTCGTGATGGAGCAATCATCAGAAAAGAAGACTGTCTTCAAGGGAAGGAAATGTACCAAAATCGACAGGTGTGGGGTGCAGAGAAATGGGACTTTATGATATGCTTTGAAGTTTATGTCTGTGTAGGATGGTAGTGATGCACCCAGGCCAGAATCCTATATGTTCTGTACATATTTCTAAGCACCATATTTATGGTCCTACTGAGTGAAACCAGGCATAACCTCCCAATCCTTACCAGGAAGCAACTGTTGTGATAGACAGTGGTGTGTTTCCCTGTTGCCAAGGAAGCAGTTGCTTTCTGTTTCCACTTCCTCCCCTGAGTGATGCACATTGCAAAAGGGAGACACGGGGTCGCTGTCACAATTCCCCTTAATGCCAGAGAGCAGCAGTAGAATGGACCATCATCAATTGCAGTGGCTGCTTCCTAGTAAGTAAAAATTGCTAATCTCTGAACACATAGCAGTCACAGATACATAACTCCTAGTTAGCCATTCATAACTGTGATATAGGATTCCAGCTTTTCATTTAAAGCTCAATTAAATGTATTTTCTCCCTCCCTCCGTTCCTTTTGGAGCTGCTGAACTTGCTTACTGGAAGGTCACAGGTTCGGATCTAGGGAGCGGGGGAGCTCCCGCTGTTAGCCCCAGCTTCTACCACTCTAGCAGTGCGAAAACATGCAAATGTGATTAGATCAATAGGTACCACTCTGGTGTGAAGGTAATGGTGTTCCATGCAGTCATGCAGGCCACATGACCTTGGAGGTGTTTGCGGACAATGCTGGCTCTTCGGTCTAGAAATGGAAATGAGCACCAAGCCCCAGAGTCGAATACGACTGGACTTAATGTCTAGGGAAAATCTTTACCTTTAACCTCCTATTCGTTTTGAGTAAGAGCTTGCTAAAGAAAAGTGTTTAGCAATGTTTCATCAATTTTGCCCACACAGCAAGGTGGTTCAGTGACAATATTTTACAAATTGTGAATTTGAAACAAGGGATGTGAAAATTCTCGGCTTTGATTTTGTTGTTTCCCCCATCTGTACTGCTGTGCCAAATCCCCCATATCCAAATCACATGCATCCTTTGTCTATATCCAGTATGAGATTTTGTTTTATCTTCCTACATCGAAGTTTGTCTTCATTTTCTATATGTATGATGCAAGCTGGAGTAGAAATATAAAAGAGCTTGCCATTTAAAACATAAGAATTAAACGGATTGAAATTTGAAAAGGATTTTGAAATCCTTCCTTTCTTTTTCATTCATTTGTTCATTATTTTTAGTTTTTTTTTAATGGGCACAAACCCATTTCAGCAGTGTTGTGTGTGTGTCTGTGTGTCAGGAGGGACTTGAGAAATTGCAAGTCGCTTCTGGTATGACAAAACTGACCATCTGCAAAGACACTGCTCAGGGGACATCCAGATGTTTTACCATCCTGTGGTAGGCTTCTCTCATGTCCCCACATGGGAAGCTAGAACTGACACCCAGGAGCTCACCCTGCTTCCCAGATTTGAACTGTCAACCTTTCAGTCAGCAGTCCTGCCGGCACAAAGGTTAAACTATTGTGCCACCAGGAACTCCTAAGAAGTACATTTGATTTGTTCCAGCTTGTAAAACACAATGGTTAGATATAGTCTGGAACTCAAGCACTTGCATCTCCTGACCTGTGTTGCAAAAGGAAATGGGATAAACTTTCAGAACCCTCTTTGTATGAAACACACGATGGCATGATATTAAGACGTGTGTGTTTCTATTCCACATGTCTATGTCGTCTTGGGGATGCTGTGGGAATGGGTATTCCCTCCCTGAAGTCCCCTCCAATTTACTAAAGGACTTCTAAAGCCTCCTGTCTTTGCACAACCATTCAAAGTTTCGTAAGTCATAGCAGGATGACAGAAGGATCTAGTTGTGTCTCTATTTGCAGATGTGAAATGACAGATCTCAGTGCTGATGTCATCGTTTCACAACTGACTCTGGGGATCTAACCAGATGCTTCTGCAATCTTGCCTGCTCCCCACAAAGTACAGGATGGCTATGCTGGAATGTAGCCAGATGTGTTGCTAATTCTGTCCAGTCTGCCTCAAGCAACAAATGGCTGGGAGAGTAGAGGTTCAGAGGCTGTGTTCAGTATGTTGGGATATCATATACAGCTCAGTCTCACATAGGTCCACATGCAGACCTACTCTGCTATATGGAGTCATACTAGATTTCAGTCAGTGTGTTGGTTCATGTTTACAATGCTAATACTAGTTCCTGAAGCTTGTGGGTTACTGTTAATTTCTTTAACTCTGTGCTCATTGACTGTGCTGACTCTTTTTAAAAAGAGATAGACCTGAATCCTTTTTGTGAGCTCCAATTAATCTAGACCCATTGAGTCAGTTGTTGATTGATTAATCAATAAGTAGATATATCTTGTTAATTCAATGAATCTGCTGTAGATAGGATTGACATAGAATTCAAGTTCATAGGCCTAAATCTAGTTGGCCTATCTAGTCGGTCTGAAACAGAGTAGCTTCATTGAATGAATAGAATGTAAACAAATGTTGATGTTTCCCTCTCTTTTAACAATATTTTGATCTTGAATGCAGTTTTTTTCCATGTGATTTCTTTTTTTCCCCTTAGGGGTGCTACACTGTGATACTGAATTCCTTTGAGACTTACGTGTACCTTGCAGGAGCTCTTGCCATTGGTGTTTTAGCCATTGAGGTATAGTAAACTTTGGAATGCTCATAACTGCTTGCTTGCTTTCATCATCAGCTTCCAGTGTAAAGTTTATATATTATCTACAAACTACAAATATTACAAAATAAAGGAATATACAAGGGCATGGGAAAATATCCTGTACTGCCCTCTGGTGTTAGCAACAAATAATCCTGTACTGCCCTCTGGTGTTAGCTTTTGATCATACAATCATTCTCAGTTTTCAAAGTTCCAATGGATGTCAAAAAAATAGGATTTTGTTCTATATTGTCTTTTGAACAATCATGGGTAGAATCCTATATGACAGTTATTGGCCATGGTCTCTAGACTTTCTTCATGCACATGTCAAACTTTTGATATAGAGAGATGAGAGGCAATGCCACGAAGGATATTAGGATGGGATTTAGTAGTGCATCTTTGCTGCCCATGCATAGACACTACTTATGAATACAGCTACAAAGTGTAAGTTAAGAAGGCAAAAAGGATTAGGTTCCTGCACTGAAAAATGTGGCATGTCTCTCAGTGTTGCCTCTCTTAAACCATACCATTTTATGTCACTTCCCCACCCCAACATGGTCATTCACTGGCCTTTCATAGCACAACTAGGTACAGGAAGAGGGCTGGGTGATTCATGGATCCACCCCTCTTTCTCACATCTGCAATGGCAAATCAAAAAATTGCTGTATTGGGGGAGGGCATTAAAAGGCTTAAGTGGTACATTGGGGTAAAAGTTTTGGTCATGGAGTGTGCAGTGGCCCATGCAAGGGAATTGAAGTGTCATAAGGCAGACGTACAACATTGTAATTGCTGTATGTCAGCAAGAAAACCAATTTAAACTTGATGACTAGGACAGTCAAACTTAGCTCACACATTCATCCTGATTTAATTAGATCTGAATGAAAAGCTGAAAGGTGCAGAAACAGGAATAAAAGAAAGAGGCAGATGTGGCAAGTAAAGCAACAATTTTCCAACAAAGAGAGAAAAAATCAGTAGCAGTGTTCCATGGGCACTGTGACATGGAGCTTTAATTTAAATATTAGAAGGATCCATTGGTACATGGATTCACAGACAAAGCAAAGTAAAGGAGTGTAAGAACAAAGAATCCCATGCCTTTTGACCTAAATATCCACTTGGAGGAGGAATGCTCAGTTTTAACCATACCAACTTAAGGCAAAAGTGGAAAGTTATACAGAATATATTGGCATCTTGTTTAAAATTTGTCCTGGTTCTATGTTGTTGTTGTTATGCTTCCCCTCATGCTAAATCATAGCTATGACTAGCTGAGTTTTTCTGCACTCACTGTAATTGACTGTTTTTATTTTTTATTTCTTTTTATAGCTCTTTGCTATGATTTTTGCCATGTGCCTCTTTCGGGGGATACAATAAGAAGTGTTCCAGGAGCAGCTGAGAAATTTCCAACCATGTGAAGACAGGAAAGAGAAACAACTTTATATTTTTGGTTAATAGAGTAGGGGGGAAGAATTGTAATATATGAATGACCAAAAGGATTGTACTTCAGGGGCTGGAACTTTGAGGTGCTGGACGTTAACTTGTCTTCTCCAAGGAGAGTCCTTCATCAGAAGCCACACAGAATGGGTTGCATTGGGAGCCTGGAAAACACAGGTGATACGAACTCAGCTGGTCTTCTTGAAGCAGAAAGGTATATGGAATTCATATCTCTTCATGAACAGTGATGTATCAGTTGACGCAGAAGATCACCTTAGGAACACAATTAATATTCAGCATCCTAAGAAACTGCTCAGCCAAAGCTTTGTGACATGTACACTTGTTTGCCTAGTTTTAGGCAGCCAGGGAGAAAGGAACTGCTCTGATGCTGACTTACCAGAACTCGGCTAAGATGGAGATGCAATCATCACTTGTGAAAAACCCAGGCAATGCTAACATTTCTTGAATCATTAGGAAAAGATACCACCTTCACCTGGAATCTTACAAAATAGTGTGAGACCTACTGTGTTGGAAAAGAAGGGGAGGAACTTTTCAAGGCCAGAAAGGGGTTGTGAGGGAACCAGTTATTTAGTACATAGTTTTTCTTTTGTCACAATGAGTTTCCTGTTTAGTGTTCTGAGAGAAAGGAAGGACTCAGACAGTTCTGCTACATACCTCCCCACCTTCGAGAGAAGAAGTGTTACCATCTAGAGCTGTTGGTGTTGTCACCCAGGGGAAGAATTTTTTTGGCCTGTTCCGAGGCTTTTGATTGTCTTGTCGCAACCATGTTATGTGCAAAATATGTTGACTATTTTCAACTTTTGTAGCTGTTGAGAAGCTTGTTGTGTTCATGTTTTACTGTGCCTTTCAGCTATGTTGAGGGGGGGAGGATCCCCCAGACAGCAAGGAAACAGTGAGAAACCTATTTGCAGTCACCCTTTGCACAATTTCATTTGTGTATATTGTGGCATTGCTTCTGCTTGTCAGCAATTTCTACGTAGAAGTTTCAGCAATTTGAGAAAGAACTGAGTGGAATGGAGTAGCATAACATACCTTCACCAAAGTTTTTCTTCTTCCTCTGAAGACAAGCTGCAGTTTCAGTTATGTTATTTAGATGGTTAAATATAGTTTGATGAAACAGTCCCCAATCAGTCGACCTTGGCAGCAGAATGAAGGGTTCAGTAGGTGCTGGGTATCTTTGCTGTGAAAGCCTTATGGAGATGTAAACCATCATGAAAGCAATACTCTGACTACATTGCAGTTAGAAATGCAAACCGACAGATCAAGGTGACTTACGCTGTATCAGGGAGAAATGATAGACATTGTATCCCAAGAGTAACATATAAGAACATCAATTGATGGAGAGCAGTTTGTGAGATGCACAGAGAGCATGTTAGGGAGCAATCATTTCCAAAACTGTGGCATGAAGAAAACATGAATGCCTGGTTTAAAGTAAAATAGTAAGATTTTTTTAAAAAAACAAAAGGCCAAATCACATTGAATATTTGATTAATCAAGGAATTCTCAGCAAAATCTTCATATAGCCCTTGACAGTCTCTTCAATTAAAGTTGTGCCTTTAGTTAAGTACTGCACAATTCTACAGCAAGGGAAATGTGTGGAAGACATCACTAGAAAAAATAGATGCTACATGTGTTGAATGCCCTTGGGTTTTTTTCTGAACAACTATTGCCATGGTATTTTTCATACATATGAAATGTAATCATGACAGATGGTGCTTAAGAATGAATTACATGTAGTGCTGGAATTTGCCATGTGAGTGTATCTGAAAGGACTCGAATAGGCTATCATGAGATGGATGAGTGCGATACAATCTCGTGAGGAAAGAACCAAACCATGGCCTTGTTACAGCTAAATCTCGAGGCAAAGCAACAGACCAAACAACTATAGTCCAGTTTCCTACGATTCTGTAATATGTGACTGGACAACTTGCAGCTTTCCAGATGAAGGACTACATCTCTTAACATAGTAAAAGTTGAAGGGACTTTAAAATTGCAATCCTTCACCGTCTGAAAGGCCACAGGTTGCCCACACCTTCTGTAAAGGAATTGAACCCAAGATGTCCTGCTGTGTGCCTGAGGATTCTAAGCCACTGCTGTAACTCTCACCTAAGAGAATACCATGCCTCCTCAAAACTGAAGTGGGTCTAATCCCACTTTGAGAGATAATCATAGCAGAAAAGGAGGAAATAGCTTTTTAAAACCCATAGTTACTTTTAAAAAAAGATATATCTATGCTTTTCCCAACAGTAACCATTTTATTGTTGTATGCTTTCAAGTAATTTCTGACTTATGGCAACTCTAAGGAAATTCATTCTGGCAGCCTCCTTTGTCATCCTCTGAGACTGAGAAAGTGACTTGCCCAAGATCATCCAGTAAATGTTCTTGGATGAATGGGGATTGCAGCCCCGATCTCCCAGTATTTTAGTCCAAGATTCAAAGCACACTGGCTCTCATTTTAGTTACTTTTAAAAAAATGTTCAATGTACAAGCCTGTGTTACAAATATCTTCCAAAATCCTGCATGGCCTGCTACATTACATAGCTTTATATATACTTAGCTATGTTGCAGAGGTGCTAAGAAACCCTTTTACTGAATTACAAAGGTGCTTAATGGGACACTGGCAAGAGTAATTTATGTGTGTGTCCCAACATTAAACACTGTGCCAGATCTGCTATGTAGTAACACAACTGCAGCTCTCAACTGGATCTAAATATTATGTAATTTTACAACTCTAATTCCATTCATGAAGATATAAGGCCCCAACAGGATTCAGGCCACTTTCTCTTCTTACCTTGTTGTCATCTCCACACTCACAACAAAGCAACACTATCACAGGTTGGATGGAGGAAAAAAGGTAAAACAGTTTCACATAATTGTCCATAATTGTCACTGAATGCTATCATTTCCTGCTATTTAATAGTTGGTGCTCCAGAGGTCTTGTCATAGGTGGAAGGAGTAAAATTTAAGAGATCCCTTCACAACTGCTGATGCTTTCCAACAGTGGGAAGGAATCTCTTGAGGACGAACATATGAAATGTATTCCAGATGTTATTGAGCATAAAACCTTTGAACTATTAGACACAGCTGCTTGTCCCAAATAGAGTACAGCCATTTATTCAACAGGATTTATATATACTTTGCTTTTCTATTCACCAGTTGATTAAATGGATCTACTTAATTTGGGAACAGCAGTTGGATTTAGACTATGTTTTAATAAAATGCACAGCTAAAAATACTCCTAGCTCTTTCATGGTGTAAAAGCAATCATTCTGCAACTGGTTCATTTGCAAACTCATCATATATGCACTCCAAACCAAACTCATTTGAAGGAAACATGTTCCTAATTTCAGGACTAGGACAATAGGCTGCAGTGCTGAATATACTGGCTATACTTCCAAGTATAGAATGACTATCAAAAGTGTCAATCAGGGTGTTATTTTCCAGTGCTGTTTCAAAGCAACAAGTTAGAGCTTGATGCACCTTTTGTGTCTAATAATTTTAGAGAGAAGGGACACATTCTAGCATGGCATCCTCTGGCCCAAGCCCCTCTGAAATCTGTGTGAGGTGATAGGTCATGCACAGTTTTTCTCTTTCAAAGTGGTGCTTGCAAAGGAGGGTTTCACACTGGAATTGTGTCTATCTTTTAGTTTTGTGTTTGTGAATCCAAATTTGCCCATTCCCTTCCGTTGTTTGTTGTTGACACTGCTGCAAGTGGTTGAGAAACAAACTGCTTGTCAAATAAATGTTGAAATCTATTTTAAATGTTCCTTTTATTAGAAAGCTAGAGCTAATTTAACTTGTATTCCCTATTGTAATGCTTTTTTATATTGAAAGAGGGTTTTTGTAATGTAAAACAGAACACTACTCTGAAGCATTTTGCACAGTTTCTGTGTGCATTTCTTTAAAAAAATAAAGATTAAAAATAAAGACACTGTGACAACCAAGTAGCTTTACTTTTCACAATCTGTGTGTGTGTGTGTATGTGTGTGTGTGTGAATATTTTAAATTAACCAGACCATACATACCAGATTGGTATGTGTAAACAAGAAGAGTGAGTTTTACATAAAGCTCAAAAAACCAAAGTCTAGTTGTATCAAGAACTGGAAATAGGACACAATCAGCCTGCAACCTGTTTTTTGTTTTTTCCAGATTATGAAGTTGAACCATTAAAAAAATGTATTAAACAGTCGGATTTTGAAACAATACATAAATGCATGAGATGTTAACCATGTAAATCTATTGCATTTGACTACATGCTTTTTTAAAATTCAGTTCAAAAATGCAGCATTTTCCTTAACATATTTTTTGGTTTTAGGGGAAAGCTGGTTTGCAGAATCTGCTTTGAGTCTACTGTCTTTAATAAGCATGTAGGGGATTTTATAAATCCCTTATTAGATTATTACTATATTATTAATCTAATCAATTGCTACAAAGACATCTTTTCTTAGAGCAGTTGTAAATACATTTTCTCACCTTAGCCTTTGCCAGGCTGTATGGTCATGTTCCAAAAGCATTCCCTCCTGACATTTCACCTGCATATATGGCAGGCATCCTTAGAAGTTATGAGGTCCGTTGGAAACAACATCTGAGAACGCCTAACATAGATGCAGGCGAACCATCAGGAGAAAATGCTTCTGGAACATGGCCATATAGCCTGGAAAACACACAACAACCCAGTGATTCTGGCCATGAAAGCCTTCAACAATACAACTTCTGTAGGTTCAGGAGCCACTGAATCTATGGAATCACTGAACACAACATGCCAAGAACAGAAAGAATTTGAAGTCTACATGTAGGTTTTAAAACAGGGAAGCACGAGAGCAGAATGCAAACTATTTACAAGATAAGTATATATTCCCTTGTAGGATTCTGGGAAAGACACAGAGTCAAGCTACAAAAACAATTTGTGGGTTGTATGTAGCCCCAGGGACACTCTTGGTCCACCTTGCCTTTGGCAATTATTATTACTTTCCCACTTGCAGTAAGTTGGTGGGATAATGATGGACAAAGCGATAAGCGCTGTGCACAGCTGCATATGATTCCACTCTAACTTTCAAAGCAGATGTTGGGCATACAGTCACATGGATGCTTCTGTTTTCTCTTAAAATTGGTTAGCAAAAGGCAGGATTGAAAAAAGAAAGGCCCAAGGTTGTAATTTTAAAGCAATTATTATTCCCAACTACTCTGCAACACTCAATTCCAGTTTTTTGGACACAAGAAAGAGCACCTCTGAACAGATTAGTTATTTTCTGCAGTTGACATCTGCCTTAAACAGACAAGGCCACAACCCCACCCTCCTTGGAACAAAAATGATCATAGTCAGGAAGTAATTGCTGAAAATCACACTTATTTCACATAGTGTACAGATTATCTTTTCCAGAGACCAAGAATGGTGTGTGACACTTCAATGTAAGCATAAACAAAATTTGCTGCTGTTGAGGAGTTTAACCTCACACTGGACTCTTAGTTACTATCCTTGGATTCTAAAGTCTACACTTGAGTCACCAGATTTATATCAAAAGTTCAAGACAATTTGAGGATTCCCACTTGATGTGTGGTCTTCATGTGGCCATTCACTTGATGCACATAGCAGTCCAAATTTATGCAAATGTTGATAAATACCAAAAGATGATAAACAAGGCAATCTTTCGTGGGAGAGATTCACTGTAGCCAAAAGCCAGCAGACATTGCCAACTGTCCATGGAACATTCCTTTGGCTTTCCAAATACAATGCTGTTGTTGCCAAGGGTATAAGGGTGTTGCTGTGATTTTAAACAGTAAGCATAGTCAGCTTGTTATAAATCCTCCCTATGTTAAGTTCTGTGTCCCAGCAAAAAAACAAACCATGTCCAATTGCTCTGTATTTGTTGCATTTTGGCCCACGTTGTTTGGTCTTCTCTTGGAGAAAGCCCTCAAATTCACATCAAAAGATACAGTTCTCCTGGTCTCAGGCAATACATACAAAAACTATGGTGAGGTGTATATTTAAAGGTAGAAGACAGGAAGCTCTAAAGTTTGTATTAAAAGTTTGTATTTTAAAAAAACCCTAGAAGACAAAATTCTAGAGCAAAGCCTCAAGTGACACATAGTAGGTTTGCTCTGTTCTAAGTTTGTAGCTTACAAGGGGATAATAAGCACTTTCCAATTTCACTTGAAGTTATTGGCAGAGAATTGAAAGATGGGAGAGAGATAAAGACATGAAATCTCAAGTGCTGGATTGTTTGCCTCTTGACCACACTAAAAGTCTGGCAAAGATTCACCAGAAACCTGGACTTAATAACAACACCTCAAAAATCCCCACAATCTATTCTAAACTATCCTAATATCATTATTTTAGAAAAGTGTAATAAATAACAGTGGATTCAAAGAACTAGGTATCATTGGAAATTTAAATATGCTAATCCTGATCTATTTTGGTTAAGTGACAGAATTATTAAAAAAATAAACAATGGTAATCACAAAGCTTTGGGATGCTATTCAAAATGGGGAAACATGGGAAGATAAGGGAAAAGCACACAGATCGCTTGGCAGAATGGATCCTCCTACTCAGCACAGCTAAACTGACCAGAGGACTGCGTGGCCTTCAAGTCCACACAGGAGCAGAGGTGAGGTGGAGGGCACGCAACCCTTATGCAATCCTTTTTCCCAAGCTAAGGTTTACAAGAGGATGCATTTAGTCACACAATACAACTAATGGAAGACAGCATTCTTGTTGAGGGAACATTCAAACTATCTAATGACATAACACAGGAATCAACAAAGCTTGGAAAAATTAATTTTCTTGCTGGAGTATACTGCAGTTATAGTTCAAAAATTAACTTTTCCAAGTTCTGGGCATCTTAACACATCTTCATTTGCTTTCAAGAACACTTCCATTTCCCAGCAGTGAAGTGAGGATGATCTATATATGAGTTGGATGTTGTGTACCATTAACAAAAGGTACACAAAAACCTTTTCTGAGAGTTCCCACTAGGAACTGTAGTTCCTGCCTTTAAGGATGCAATTCTACTTCACTCATCTTTATTTTTCTAACCTACCTTCCACTAACTATTCTTTCCATGGTTTAATCTATCCCACCTGTCTTACTCTTCAATTCCTAAACTTTCCTTAATGTATACATCTCCCACTCGCACTTTTGTGAGTGTCATGAAGCCACGTGGGCATTAGGAGTTAGTGAGTAAGGAAGCCCCAGGTGCCCCAGAGACTCAGAAGCACCCCTGAAGCTTCTCTGTCAGTTATGAGGGAGCGATGCCAACACCCATCCCAAAACAAGCAAAGTACAGAGGCTAGCTTTTGATGACACTCTAGTACTACATCAGACTGTTCCAGCCTGAAAATTTTAAGATCTTATTGGGAAAGTCAATTAAGACTTCAGGACTCAAGCCTATCTGCATTTTCAAGATCCTGACCTGCCTCAGCACAGAGGAAAGCTAACGCTTTATCTTTGGATAGCAAATAGTGAAGAGAAGTCATAATACATCACAAACTTTATCCCCCTGGCAAGGGGAGCCACAGAAAGATGCTCTTCACTGTTGGGAAAATAAGCATTTTTCTTACATGCACCATGAGTCATTTTCAGTGGTGATGAGCCAAATGCCCTGCCCACCCTGGGGGTCAGTGGCTGGTGTTCGGGAAGTATTTCATATACACAGTCAGGAAAGGGAAGGGCCTCCCAAATTGGCTTTTCCCTCACTAAACTTTAAAGGCCTTTGGGGCAATAAAGGAGGAGGATTAGGATAGGAGCAACTGACAAAATGTCATATTCTGAACAACTAACCAGAATAAAAGCTGACATATTGTTTGGACTGTAAACACCAGCTCTGGAAGTATGTACTGTGGCAACTGTAAATATCAATTCTGGATGTACACATTGAAGAATGCCATAAGAAATTCCAGTTTGGTCTCCATATGCCCTCCGTAGTGGGTACTCTCAGAAAAGGTTTCCATGTTCCTGCCTATTGGAGTAAATGGCAAGAGCAACCTACATAAAGATGTTCATCCCTCCATGCTGGAAAGTACTATATTACAGATAAGTCAAATAGTTCTTCTCATAGAAGACTGGATCAACCACCAAACCCAAAGGGCCTGAAGTAAGTAACAATGCACACATAACTGAAGTATGCACTGAATTAGGCTAAGGAATACATATAGCCACTGTTCACAGTAGCACATTCCTGAAATTTCCTTGGCTTCTTCGCTATAATTGTGTTTCAAAACAGATAAAAATGTAGTTTCCATTGCTGTATAAGGGGATGAATGTCAGAAATCTCTAGTACCCTGTATTCACACATTAGTGTTAGTGATTGGTGTGAATGGATGATTTCTTGGTCTCCCTCATGTTTCCCCTTTCCCTGTGTTATATCTGGAATCATGAGATGGAGTGGGGAAATCTTTAATGCCTGGTACCAGAAAAAATAAACCAGTACAAGAAGCCCTCAGGAAGTACAGAGCAAGGACTGGCCCATGTAGAAGAAGAAAGTGGTCCAGATATTTTTTATCTGGCCACCTTAAAAAAAATTCCGAGTATACTCTTAATTATTATGCTCAGTGGTCCTGAAAAGATCAAAGGTTTAAAGACATGGCAGAGATATTAACACATCCAAGATATTAGTTGGAGGCTGAGTTCTAACTTCTTAAGCCAACTGTGGCTTCAGTACTCCTACCACTCCCCATGCACGCCTTTCAGGACTGTCAGCACAGCTTTCAGTCTGCAAACCATTGCTGTCCTCCAGTACACCATTCACAAGGGTTATTTGGCAGCTTTTGTGCTTTGAATCCAACTTTAAGAGACTACCCCATTTTCTCATGCTCCTATACTTTGATCATGTGCCATTTTCTATATAAAGCGAATCTCTCCACAACCACAACCACTAGATCTAATTAGCCCTTGATAGCTCCACAGTGTCTTTTCTTGCCTACTTTAGCCTTCCATCAGTCTCCAGACTGGATTTGATCTCTCCTCTTCCATCTCTGGTGGCAGCAGTAAACACCAGTTCCGGATGTATACATTGAGGCATGCCATACAAAAGTCCCAATTTGAAAGACATAAAACATAAAAATGTACCAAAAAAAGAATGTAAAAGTGATGACAAGCCCCTTTGCCCATGCCCCACCCACATCCCAGAAGTCTTTCAGATTAGATTTTCTTGGGTCTGCGTCCAACTTGGTAATAATAATAAAGGCTGATAAGTACAAAGATGACCCGGCTGGTGAGAAGCAGAATTGCTCCTGTGGATGCTCGGCCACTTTCAACCAGTGTGATGGTAGTAACTGAAAGGTAAGAAAAGCAGATTAGGAGCAAATTCATTCACACACAACTAGTGTTTTGCAACCCTCTAGGATTCTTCTTGTAAACACAGAACAACTTGCTTGCTATTAAAGTTTGTAGGATCCAAATGGTGCAGGCTAGCTTTTGTCAAGGAAAAAGGTTGGATTACAAGTCCCATCACTTCAAATCAGTACATGAAACAACCTGTTGGGGATGAATGGAATGGGAAGATTGTTTGCTGAGGCTGGGATTGAGACTAACATGAAATAAACTAGTAACATTCCCTGTCCAAGCAACAGATTGCAGAGAAAACCAGATTACCATTTCTAGAATTATGAAATCTTAGAAAGAGACCACAAGGGCCATCCAGTCCAACCCTCTGGCAGAAGTCGCTACAGACTTCAGAAGACCGGACAAAACACTCCTGAATGTTGCATTTTCTATATAGAGAACAAAGCTCAACAACTAGGATATTTATTAGACTGAGACATTGTAGGCACACAAAGTTGTGGGAAAAGAGCAGTTAACTAGCTGTCAACTAGCAAGATTCCATTTTTCAAGATGAAATGTGTATGAGATTTGATAAGCAATAAAGATCTAATGCAAAGATGGGGAAGTTCCAGCCCTTCAAGTGTTTTGGAATTCAACTCAGTCATCATTGTCAAAGGTAAAAGACATGCAGAAACGTGATCCAAGATATCTGGAGGACCAAACAATCCTCAGGCACTAAATTTAAACAGATGTCATTCTGGAAGCTGTTAAGCATGAAGGATAGCAAGAATAGCCTACACTCTCAATATTCATCCCTCGGTGCTCAAAAACAGTCATAGCAAAATGGAGTGCGCCACTGGAACTGATCAGGAACTAGATAACAGAAAGGCATCTGGCAGCTTCTCCCCAGCTCTAGTCACATATTGGACTTTGTGGAAGAAGGTCCCAGATAGATCCCGCCTTTCTCAAAACTGAAATACTTGCTTACAGTTCTTGAAGGATTCCTGTGCTGTGTAGCTATACTGTTATATGGAACAGGACACACAGGACTCCAGAAATGTTGAACTGTAATTTTAGGGGGCACACCCAAATGGTGAGTGATAAGGAAAGTTGTAGTTCAACAAGAGCTGGAGGTCCACAAATTCCCCATCTCTGCAGCTTTATAAGATAAGTTGGAGGGTTTCTGTATGTTAATGCATTTCCATCTTGATCTGAATATGTATTTAGAGAATAGTGAATAAAAGACATTGTGATGATTGTGCAATGACTTTGACATTATTCCTCTTTCAGCTTATCTTCTGTATGCCACTATTTCCAGGGGCAAAAATCCTCCAAATTAAACATTTCTTCCTAAGGATAGCAGTGCCAGATTTTTCATTTTCTCATTCTCAACACACTGAAATTTTACTCCAGCATAGGTGCAAAGATTACTGCAGATGCAGACTGTGGCCAGGAAATCAGAAGATGCTTACTTCTTGGGAGGAGAGCAATGTCCAATCTCGATAAAATAGTAAAGAGTAGAGACATCAGACTGGCAACAAAGATCCGACTAGTCAAAGCCATGGTATTCCCTACGGATGTGAGAGCTGGACCATAGGGAAGGCTGAGCGAAGGAAGATAGATGCTTTTGAACTGTGGTGTTGGAGGAAAGTTCTGAGAGTGCCTTGGACTGCGAGAAGATCCAACCAGTCCATCCTCCAGGAAATAAAGCCCGACTGCTCATTGGAGGGAAGGATACTAGAGACAAAGTTGAAGTACTTTGGCCACATCATGAGGAGACAGCAAAGCCTAGAGAAGACAATTAAGCTGGGGAAAGTGGAAGTAAAAGGAAGAGGGGCCGACCAAGGGCAAGATGGATGGATGGCATCCTTGAAGTGACTGGACTGACCTTGAAGGAGCTGGGGGTGGTGACGGCCGACAGGGAGCTCTGGTGTGGGCTGGTCCATGAGGTCACGAAGAGTCGGAGATGACTGAACGAATGAACAACAAAACTGTCATCATTATGTTGTGAGATTTTTCACATGTGATGATTTTTTCAACATTTTACTTGTGCAAAAGTATATATTTGTGTAAAAATGTACTTCACAAATACATATTTTGCAAAGACTTTTGTAAGTTTTTGTTAGACAGCACTAACATTGTCTCCTACCAGACCTTAGGAAATAACCTAACACAACCTCTGAGGATGCCTGCCATATTTCTTTAGAGCATTTCCATCCTGTCCTTCTCAACCCCCGAAGGGGGACTCAGGACTGCCATAGATGCAGGCAAAAAGTCAGGAGAGAATGCTTCCGGAACATGGCCATACAGCCCAAAAAACTTACAACAATCCAATGATTCCAGTCATGAAAGCCTTCGATAATACTTAGGAAAATGTGCAGGAACATCCGCAGCCTTACCAAGAAGGGGAAAAAAAATATGTAATTTTTCTTTCTTGCAGGGAGAAATGAAATAAATCAAGATGCACATCCTATGCCTTTTGTTTCCATATGTCCAACTTTATCATATAAATTATTTCCTGTTAAGGGGAAAACACTTGGCCTGCCAAAGAGAATAGTCAATGATTCCTGAAAGTTAAAAGATGGGAAACAGGAAAGGAGTTTGGACCAAAATACAATTTTTGTTCCAAGAATAGTATAATTTGTATTTATATAAATATTAACAGACCGAGTTTTCACTGATGTAATGGATCTATTGTAGTTGGGACAAACAACTGGCTCTGTGCCTTCAAAGGCTAAAATAAGAGAATGTTTTTTACATGAGAAATGCCACTTCATTTTAGAAGGCAATGGCAAACCTTCTCTGAAGAAATCTTGCTAAGAAAACCCTAGGATAGGGTCACCATAAGTGTATGTTGTCCTGAAAGCATATAACAGAAAGAAAAAAGTTATGATGATGTCTAACTTACAAGGGCCATAAGACAAACAAGCAAGGTATATATACCATTTTGCTTACAGTTTCTCATGCTCACCAAATATTAGTTATAGTTCTAACCACATAGATTTCTACACAGTTCAGGTAGACAATATGTAAATAAATTACTGGTAAAACTTTGGATCCAAAACAACACTGAACTAGTTTGGTGGTTAGAGTACTGGACTGGGATTAAAATATGCAAGTTTGAATCTCCACTAAGACATGACATTTACTGGATAATCATGATGCCTTCTGTTGTGAGAGTAAATTGACTGTTGGGAACTGCTGAACAGTATAGACTTCCTCAGAATGTGGTGTAGTCTCCTTCTCTGGTTTTTAAAAGAGACTGGATGGCCGCTTGTCAGAGTGCTTTAATTGTGTGTTCCTGCATGGCAAGAGGTTGGACAGGATGGCGTTGTGGTCTCTTCCAAATCTATGATTCTATTTGAATGTAAATAATAAATATTGCTTTTCAATCTACAGGTTTTCTTTTTTTATCAACTCACTACAGATGCCTGCTTACCCAAGAACTGTACACCAAAGTAACATGCTTCTGATAGCAGGGTCCAACGGATGATGGCCTTCTCAACTGTGTACAGAACATTCCACATGATGAGGGAGATACCTAATGGAGAATTAAAGAAAAAGTGAGAAAGAAGGTAAGGACACAGTCGCCTCAGAAGAGAAAAGAAAGTAGCATAAGCACAAGCTGGCCTTCTGTAGCATACAATCCTTTCGAGCTACTGAAAGTGGAAAATCTAATAAGGTGGCCCTCTCCCTCTTATTTTTTTGTTATCACAAGGCATTTTGGATGCTGCTAAAGACAGGATTTTATCATGCTTATTGCTGATAGTGAAAAGGGGTTTTTTTGCAGTATAGTTTCACAATCTTTTAGCCGTCATGGACACTGGCCAAGTTGGCTGAGGCATTCTGGAAGTTGTGGTTCAACAGAAAGCTGTAGCTTTTCTGAGTTGTGTGCCTATCATGGCCCATCTCCATCCATATACCTTGGTCACTTTTTTTAGCCACCACAGACCTTAGCTAATACAACTAAAATTAAGATGTTGCTCTCATGGGGCCTTTGAAGAAGATCTAACATGTTCCTATCCTTTTTCCCATTGAATTTTCTAACAGTGAATCCTGCATTGTTTGAAGGCTTTTACAGATTTAGTTTGTTCTTCAGGCTGTTGAAAGCTTTAGTTATAAAATGAGGGGGGGGGGGGAACCCAATATTTTGAAGCTTGGGTATGCATTTTACACAGACAAACACAGAGATGTACACAATTTAAAATCATGTTGTAATACCCAAAATTACTTCTCCCATTATTGTGCACTACATAAACATGACCTTTCCTGCAAAACCACCTTACACTGCAATCATTCCCCCAATTACAGCATTTTCTAGGGGTTTGTATAAAATCCCCCATTCCCTAGAACAAAAGCCTTGGTCCTCCAGATGTTTTTCATTTAGCTTCCAGAATTCCTGATTGTTAGCCAAGCTACCTGGGGCTTCTGGGAATTGGAGTCCAAAACAATTGGAGAAGCAATGTTTGAGAACCACTACCTGAGGAGTTTTGTGCCATGCTTTGGCTGGGCCTCTTTTTGCTTCCAACATACAGCAGGAACTGACACCAAGACAGCTCAATGCAGGTGTAGAGAAGATGACTGAGCATTCCTCTGATTTATTTCCAACAGCTCCAGCCTCTTCAGACATTTCAGAAGGAGCTCAAGTCAGAACTAATATTGTCTCCTGCCAGAACTTTTGGGAGAAGAAAGAGGACACACTGCTGGTTTTTCAGTTTCTATCCCTTTTGCAGTGTCTGAATATGTTAAAACACACCAGTGAAGAAACATTCAGACAAAACTGACATGGAGAGATGAAAGGAAATAAAAAGTGGGTGTTGAGTAGAGATTGGAATGAGGCAGCCTTCAGCAGCCCTGGTTCAAATGGCAGAGGCAAAATTTGCTGCAAGGAAGTCAAGATTACTTATGGATTTGTGGATGGCTGTACTTCTACTTGTGATCACTAGGGGATGCTGCACACTCACAAGAAACGATTATACCGGAATTATCCATAATTCCAAGACTCAAGTCTCTTCTGACCCACACAATAAGGAGAAGAATGGCTTTAGCCAGACCTTGTCTCAAACCACTTTGAAAACAGCAAGAGGTATGTAGCATGCGTAAGTCAGTATGAAGCATGTCAATAGCACTGGAATGTAAACACTGCACCTCTTCCCATCCCATATTAATCAGGCTACTTCAAAAATAGACCATTGTTTTAACCTAAAGAGAATATGTACAGCATGATGAGCAAATCAAACATTAAAACAAGTATAGCTTTAATAGCTAACTGCCAATACAATTTCCCCTAAATTTGGCAAATTTCAGAGATATCACTTGCATAATATGTCAACATATCAAAGATATAATAATAGTAGCAGTAACAGTAATAATGATGATGATGATAACTTTATTAATATTCTGCCCTCTCTCCCCGAGGGGATTCAGTAAAACTCTGTATCAGTCTGATCATGGGAATGGAATGCAACTCCCAACGGCTTTGCCAACAAACCTCATAGAGCAGAATATGAGTTACAGCTTAATTATACTTAGAGGGCCACAAGTTGCTTCCCTCTGACTAAGGAGATTCATGTGCAGTGCTATCCTCACACTCAAGGAAATCCAATCCCACTCTTCTAGCATCCATCAATCTGTTCCCACTAGGGCAAACTGCCTCTCTTGGCTACCAAACTACTACTTACTAAGCAAGGCTCCTCCATACAGGCGAACTGGCATCTTACTGTTGACGGATTCTTCTTCAAAGACAGCATCGTAGAGCTGCTCAGGAAAGACGAGAGCCTAAAGGCAAGAAATAAACTTCAAAGTAAACAAAAGCTCTACCTGGAAAACAGTCTTCAATTTGAAGATAGAAAATCTTATCTGCATGGCTGTGGTGGGCCTCACTTCTCGCCAATGGAAGCTAAAGTCCTGGCTTGGATCAGTGTCTCCATCTCACAGTGGAATTAAAAGCCAATGAGGTGAAACAGCTGCCACAGACAGCAGTGGAACAGAGGAGAATGGAAAACACTAAGCTTGAGGGCAAAATACCAAGTGTGTCCAAGGAGGGAACATTTTTAGATCTTGGCTTTGGTATTGAGCTTTTTTTGGATTCGGAATTTTATTATATTTTTAGATTTTGAACACTCAACCTTTGTGTGGGAATATTTTTCTCACTTACCATGATGGCAACCCCGGAAAAAATGATTGCTGACACAAACTGCCAAACCCTGCAAAATTAAAAGGATCAGAATCAACATTTGAATGGTGTGAAGGCAATATTTCCTCCAAGACATTTTTACACAGAAAGCTGGTGCTTTAGAATCAGAATCTGGATAAATAACTTTGGGGACTACAACTCTTAAACTCCCACAGCCATGGTAATGCTGGCTGTAGTATTTGGGAGCTGGAATCAAAATGTAACTTTTCCAAGTATTGTTTCTGTGACAAAAGGCACTAGACAGGCCTTTGACTGAAATAAGAGGCAAGAAAAATGTAATAGGAAAGAGAGCAAAGAAACTAAGGACTGAACCTTTCTTAACTTCCAAGGCTTTGTAACAACCCCCCTGATGCGTCACCTCCACTGGCTGCCAGTTTGCGACCGAGCACAATTCAAAGAGCTGGCTTTAGCCTATAAAGCCCTAAATTGCCCAGGCTACCTATCGAATGTATCGTCATCTACGAACCAGCATGGAGACTAAGATCTTCTGGGGAGATCCTGCTCTCGGTTCTACCGGTCTCACAAGTGCAGTTGGTGGGGACGAGAGATAGGGCCTTCTCAGTAGTGGCCCCCGGTTGTGGAACTCCCTCCCTAGCAACATCAGAGCAGCCTCCTGCCTATTAGCCTTTAGGAAAAGAGCCAAAACCAGGCTCTGGGAGCAGGCTTTTGAAAACTAGGGCAATGCAGTATTCTGAATTGAAAACTTTGTGCAATTTGACCCTGGAGTGGACTCAGACCATGAACTTTGGATGGGGTGTTTTTAATTTTCAATCTGTTTTAACTTTGCCTTATATGTTGCAATTTTAAATTTTTAGGTAACTGTGGTTGAGGCACAATGTATGTGCCACTGTAAGCTGCCTTGTGTCCCCCTGTTGGGGTAGAGAAGGGAAGGGTGTAAGTATGGCAAATAAATAAATAAATAAATAAATAAATAAATAAATAACACATCCAGAAGATCTAAAAATAATAGACAGAAGAAATGCCATTTCTTAAACAAACAAACAAAAGAGAGAAGAAGGTTCTGTAAGTTCGCTACCTAAGATCAGTTTGTACATCACTGAGGGCAAGTCCATCACCAAAGATGGTTGGCCCATCAGCACTAATCAGTCCAGGAATGCTTTTTTAGTTGCCCAGATAGCAGTCAAAAGGGATTGTGAGTTATTGTAAAAATGTGCACACACAGTGTTTAGTTTTACAGCTTCACTACTAGATCCATGAACCTAGTTGCCTATTTTAAATGTATATTGCTGCAGTGCTGCCAACATAAAAAGCAATAGTCCATCCAAAAGACATGCCACCTGTTTCATGAGAAGAATACTCATTTCACACACATATAACAAAAAATCATATGACTAAATTAATTTTTGAAACTTTCGACTTCAGTTTAGTTTCCTTTGCAGGACAACCAGGGCCAGTTTACACTATACCACATGGGAAGCTTTTTATTCAGTTAAATTTCAGATTTCTGCACCTGCAGTTTTGACTATTTTGGTTCAGAAAAACCTTTAGATTTTGCTTTACTGTTGCATGGATCCTGGAATAATTCATTTAGAAGAAATATGAGGGATTCCAAGCTTTTCCCCTTGAAATTTGTTCCCATTACTGTCTCCATTCTGTTATTTGGACAGGCTTGGTGTATCCTCTTAGCCTTCTATGATCCCACCCAATTACCCAACAGAATGAGCAATAAGTGACCTACCTATCTGAAAAACAAATACACATACACTTATTAAGGGTCCTCCATGTCACAATTTTGGATTTTCTTTTAAACGTAGGTGGGATTGTTACTGACTCTGCTTGCTTCCAGGCACAGTGTGCCATGCTAAAAGGATTTTTTTTCCCGCTCAGCACTTAAATTCTACTTGAAGGACTTTTTATATTGTTTGTTTAAATGAATATTGTCATTTTGCTAGTTGAAGAGATTTTATAACTCTTGTTTTCTAATTAACTTAGGCAATTCCACCCACCCACTGTTATTTTAAAGTGTTGCATAGAACACCCTGGGATTCCTTGTGGAAGGATAATTTCTAAATCAGGATATGAATACAAAGTCTTTCTCACACATCCTAGACTGGGAGGTGTGTTATTGTTGTCAAATGAGGTTCTTTTCCCTTGTAGCCAGGGATGGAGAAAGTATGGCCCGTGGGACATATGCAGCCACTTGTTCTTTTTTTGTGTGTGGCCCTTCAATAGATTATCTTAAAGGAGGGAAACTGTCATGCAAATGTTATGGAGAACAATTCCATTTTATTTCCCCAAGACATTTTAGGTCAAAAGAGGCCTTTCTTTGAGCATAAAGTAACCTTCTGGTGCTTTGTTATTGTGGTTTTTGTCTGTCTTCAAATTATTTTCGATTGATGGCAACCTTAAGGCAAACTTATCACAGAATTTTCTTGGCAAGATTTTATCAGAGAGGGATCTGCCTTTTGTTCATTTAAAGACAGGTCGCTCCTGGATCTAAAAAGGACCAGGGTTTTGAAAATGTTTGAAACTGACCCCAGTGCCCTCTAAGGCAATACTACTCAAACCAGTGGTCCCTGGACTGGTATTTGTTCCCAAGCCATTGGTTAGTTATTCCCTGGTGAGTTTCCAGGAAAGAAAAAGATAAATGTAGCCAATAAGAACAAATACAGCACAGTTCTCTGGGACACTGGAGATAAAAAAAATCTTAGTTTGCCCACATCAGACACCTCCTCTCAAAGTTTTTTTTAAAAGACCTCAATGGATGGCAGCAGCTTGGCTTAACCCTATGGCCATACAGGGGAGGGCGTGCAGCCCCTATAAAATTCAGTCTTTCAATTTCTAGAGATTCATGCAAACATCATGCAAAATTGGGCAAGCTCTCCATTTATGTATTGGTCGGAACCACTGAGCTGTTGTAGATTTTTTGGACTATATGGCCATGTTCTAGAAGCATTCTCTCCTAACATTTCACCTATGGCCTCACAACCTCTGAGGATGCCAGCCATAGATGCAGGTGAAACGTCAGGAAGGAATGCTTCTAGAACATGGCCATAAACCCCAAAAATCTACAACAACCCTCTCCATTTATATTTTTGCCATTCTCATATTCAGCATCAACTACAAAATTGGAATTAATTTGCAGAAGACTTTAGGGAATATATTAGAAGTTCAGTAACCACATTGTGGGCCATTCCTTGTCTTGGTCCTTAGGATGCCATCACACTATAGTGTTATAGCACTATTAGTCTGCTCCAACTGTCATGGGAACATTCTATAGCATCCTGGGATTTACATCTTAGGAGAATTAAAATTCTAAGTCAGGGAGATCTTGAGCCTCCCTAAACCACACCCACTAGAATCCCATGGGATGTTGCTATAGCAGGTACAATGAAATAATAGCATTATAACAGTGTAGCTTGACCAATGTTCTACCTGGAAACTTACCTGAGTCCTAAAGGTTCCCTCACAGCAAATTTAATTTCATTGCCCAGGACTTGACTGATCTGAAATTCAAATGAGAATAGTGAGGAAACTGACTCATAGCCAGTCTGCAAAAACACTGTCTAAGAAGAAAAAGGAAATAGAAGAGAATGTTTAGAATTGCAACAAGATACGATGCATAGCTCCTCTTGTTCCTCATAGCTTTTCTTGCTGAGAAGCAAAGAGATACAATGATGATGGCTACCTGCAAGGTGAAATGATAGCTGCTTAAGTACTTACTAGATTGTTGAGTCCAAGCCCATAAAGAACAAGTTGTCTACATCTAGTCAGCAGGCACACCTTGAAACGTCATCATCATCAGGTTTATTTGTAATGGGCACATAGAGCCGCAGTGCTATTTTCAGATACTTTTAGGAAACCTTGGTTTATTATTGTATGTTTAAATACCTAGAAGGGGAATACAGTCAGTTCTTCACATTGTGGTTAGGGGCACAGAACCACAGCAAAAGTGAAAAACTTCAAATAATAACACTACTTTAAAAAAATACCTGAGAGTTCTCTAGGGTAAAAAAAAGGAATATCTATGGTCAGCTTCCACTAGCTTGTACTGCAGGACCTACAGATTTCCAGAGAGGTATTATTTCTAGGATCCTCTAAATCAGGGTTTCTCAACCTGGGGGTCGGGACCCCTGGGGGGGTCGCGAGGGGGTTTCAGAGGGGTCACCAAAGACCATCAGAAAACACATTTCTGATGGTGTTAGAAATCCCTTTGGCATAGTCATTTGGGTTCACAGTGCTCTGTGGATGTAGGTGAACTAGATTTCCCCTATATCAGTCAATTCATCCCAAATCCCTCCAGCATTTTCTGTTGATCATGGGGGTCTCTGTGTGGGAAGTTTGACCCAATTCTATCATTGGCGGGGTTCAGAATACTCTTTGATTGTAGGTGAACTATAAATCCCAACAACTACAACTCCCAAATGTCAAGGTCTATTTTACCCAAGCTCCACCAGTGTTCACATTTGGGCATATTGAGTATTCATGCCAAGTTTGGTCCATATCTATCATTGTTTGAGTCCACAGTGCTCTCTGGAYGTAAGTGAACTACAACTCCAAAACTCAAGGGCAATGCCCRTCAAAGCCTTCCACTATTTTCTGTTGGTAGTGGGAGTCCTGTGTGCCAAGTTTGGTTCAATTCCATTGTTGGTGGAGTTCAGAATGCTCTTTTGATTGTAGGTGAACTATAAATCCCAGCAACTACAACTCCCAAATGACAAAATCATTATCACCCCCCAACTCCACCAGTATTCAGATTTGGGCATATCGGGTATTTATGCCAAATTTGGTGCAGTGAATGAAAATACATCCTGTGTATCTGATATTTACATTACAATTCATAGCAGTAACAAAATTACAGTTATGAAAGTAGCAAGGAAAATAATTTTTTGGTTGGGGGTCACCACAACATAAGAAACTGTATTAAGGGGTCGCGGCATAAGGAAGGTTGAGAACCACTGCTCTAAATCCTCCAACAGAAGTTAACTACAGAGTTGCACTGGAGGACATAAGAGATCCCTAGAAAGAACACTTTAACTAAATCAATTAATAATAAAATTGGCAAAGGTGAAAGGATGATTGTACATTTAAAGAGGTTGAGTCACATATTGTGTGAACAGATTGTTTGCAGTGTTAATTTAAGATACATACACATATATATTTGTGCATAATTTGTTTTGCATCGCATTACTGGGCCATAGTGAGTTGGATAAGAGAAATAAACATGAAAACATAATAATGCAATATACATAAAGTAACACCATCTCCATTTATTTTTAATGGACTGCATTCATTTTAATATTATTTGCAAAGTGTACATCATCATTAATCATTTATTTACATCCCACCTTCCTCCTACATATTCAGAGAGAACTTGTCAGTTTCTTCCTCTGAAATACCGCTCTACAGCACCTGGCATTTCTCAGTGGTTTCCCATCCAAGTACAAACCAGGGTTGAATGTGCTTAGCTTCCAAGATCAGGGGTCTTTAGGATACTGTTGAACTTGTAAATCTATTCCAGGTTTTAGCCCTACCTCTAAAGAAGCAATTGAAAGTGCTGAAACTGTTTGGGGGGTAGGGTTCAGTTCCTTGAACAGCACTTTTAAAGTTTCAACTAAAAACTAGAGTGAATTTACTGTCCCACTGGGTATGGACATCATCTGTCACCGAACCTTTCCTGGAAATACTACATTCTGAATTGAACTGCTTTGAGGGAAATACTGGCTGATAAAGAAAAGTGAACCATTCCAAGAACAGACAGCTGCAGGCAGGATTCCAGAAAATAGGCTAAATTATTTAATCATATACAGGCATTGGCTCTTTTTTTCATAAAAAAAATGAAAAGGCCTTGTGTGCAAGGAGCAAGGAATTGCCAATGACTATAATGCTGGAACAAGGAAAAAGAAATAGTTGGCTGCATATGCTTTGTCAATTTAGGTACCGAATGTCACGTCATTACCACAACATCTTACCTAGTCTTTGGACTTTCCTGTTTCTTCTCATATCACCTACACTTTTAAATCGTGTTATCTGATGAAGAATTATGGGGAACTCTGATAATCTGGGGCATTTTGACTGTTCCTAATAATGGAATGGGTCAGCAATAGAGTTAGAATTGTCAAGGAGGTTTTGTAAAGATATGACACTTTATGTGAATGCTTACACTTGAGTAAAGAAGTGAAAGGGTAAGATGGAATAACTCCATAAAAGGGGATATTCATTCCTTTGCTCTGCATAAGAAGATTTTGTCTTTTTTGGGTTGTCATAGGATTTTTGTGCTAAATGGCCATATTCTAGAAGCATTCTCTCCTGACGTTTCGCCTGCATCTATGGCAAGCATCCTCAGAGGATGTGGATTTCAATGGCCAATTTGCGACATTCACACCTGCTTCAAATAGACAAGAGTTCTTTCTCCCACTCTGGATATTCCACAGATATATAAACCAAATTTTTCTAGTTTCCAACAGACCTCACAACCTCTGAAAATGCCTGCCTTTTCTTCTTGTTTAAAAAATAAAAAGAACAATTACTTTTGGTTGGCCTTAAAAAAAAAAGGTTATCTAGATATGATTGGGTTTTGTGTTATCACTAAAACACTTTAAAGGTGAAGAGTTTTGTGCCTTGTTACACAGAGCATGACTACAGTGACAAAAAATCTCTTTGGGGACATCAACAACCAAGGTACAAGTCACAGGAAAGAAACGGGCTCCCACAAAGGAAGTGAGAACAAAGGGGATTTAAACAGCCTTGGTTGCTTCCTGCCCATCTCCTGCTTAGCCCTGCCAGCTGGGGAGAGAAACCCAGTTTCTACGCACGCCATTCGTTGTTATTTCCTGCACTGGATAAGTTGACACAAAGGAAACTGTAAAACTGGCAAGAGGTGCTAGTGACAGGAAAAAGAGAAAAGAAAAAAAATTACAGTCCTCCCTCCAGCTCCCCTCATCATGGTACAGGGAGGGGAGGAAGACTATGTATTGAGATGTTTTGGAGATGATTGTGTTGTTTGAGAGAGAAGTATTTGTACCCCAAGGAGTAAACAGGGGAGATAAGCATTATCTGACACAGAACAAAAGAAAAGATTGGTTTCTGACAAGGAGACCAGGCTTCTCTTCAGACTGCAGCATGCAGCATATTTCATGGATCACAACTTTGGTGCATTTTGCGTTTTACCGGATGCTGGTAGAAATACATTTGCTTCAGTGTGTGACTGATATGCAACTAGGTTTGAGAACTGGTATGGCATAGTGCAGTGGTTCTCAACCTTCCTAATGCTTCAACTCCTTAATACAGTTCCTCATGTTGTCGTGACCCCCAACTATAAAATTATTTTCATTGCTACCGCATAACAGTCATTTTGCTACTGTTCTGAATTGTAATGTAAATATCTGATATGCAAGATGTATTTTCATTCAATGGACCAAATTTGGCACAGATACCCGATATGCCTAAATTTGAATACTGGTGGAGTTGGAGGGGCTGATTTTGTCATTTGGGAGTTGTAGTTGCTGGGATTTATAGTTCACCTACAATCAAAGAGCATTCGGAACTCCACTAATGATGGAATTGAACCAAAATTGGCATGCAGAACTCCCATGATCAACAGAAAATACTGGAAGGGTTTGGTGGGCACTGACATTGCGTTTTGGAGTTGTAGTTCACCTACATCCAGAGAGCACTGTAGACTCAAACAGAGATGGATCTGGATCAAACTTGGCACAAATACTCAATATGCCCAAATGTGAACACTGGTGGATTTTGGGGAAAATAGATCTTGACATTTGGGAGTTGTAGTTACTGGGATTTATAGTTCACCTACAATCAAGGAGCATTCTGAACCCCACCAATGATAGAATTGGGCCAAACTTTCCACACAGAACTGTGTTTTCTGATGGTCTTTGGTGACCCCCCTCGGACATCCCCCTTGCAACCCCCTCAAGGAGTCCTGACCCCCAGGTTGAGAAATGTTGCTGTAGTGGTTAAGGGCATTGTACTGGGAATCATGAAACTCACCCCCTGCTGCATGACGTATTTCACAAGAATGTTGTGAAGATAAAGAGGAAAGCAGGAAAACCATACACACTGCCATTGACCTCAGTAAAAGAGAGATATGAGTATACATTTCACTCATACAATGACATAAATTTCCACATATCCAGATTAAGCCCAGAAAAGTCAACCAATGCCACTCCTTACATTTAGCCATAATTAAAAATACTTCTAATGTTTTAGGGATACATTCCAAGTCAAGGTGACTGTGGCTTCTGGAACATGGCCATACAGCCCAGAAAACTCACAGCAACCCTATGGCTATTGCCAATAGCTCCTTTTACAGCTGATTTATTTCCAGAACTTTTGCAAGCTCTTACATTCTTATGTGAAGGGATTTATTTTTCCTCACCAAAGACTGACTCACATCATTAAACTTGGGAATTTTTATTAACCAGTTGAGCCAATTTTAGAAAAGGTTGATGCACATCTACTCTTGGTGGCAATAGAAATACTAAGC